ACGACGCGGGGAGGGAATCCAAGCGCTGGTCCACGGGTCGCATTTGCTGGCTGATGAATTTGGAAATTCATCCTTTCATAGTTACCCTCCCGCCAGGAGACCGCGTAACAAAGGTCCTTGTAATGGAGATGAAATACTGAAGAATGAGAATTACGAGTGCGCTGGAAAAGCCTGTTCACGGGGTTCTTCAGGGCTTCCTCTGTTTCTGTTTGGGACAAGTGTTACTGCGCAGTGGAAACCTCCTTTCGTTAGAGATGAAGAATATGTACGCAGGTTCTTTACTTCAGGACCTCCTGCCAGTAACAGAAAGATGAAAAGCAGGCCGTGCCTCTTATCGCCGAAGCGCACTGAGAAATTGTAACCACAAGTACACTGTTTATTAAAAGACTGAAAAAAAATTAGATGCTTACATTCTCCGTTCGAACACCAAGATCCTTTCAGTTAAGCACCTCTGTCTATAGAAGCTGCAGACTATCCCCTCCCTGGTCTTTCCAAAATCACTGCCTAATCAGTTCACGGGGCCCTTTTTTATCCTGAAAAACAAGCATGTTTCTCGGGTTAAAAATGCACACAGACACGTGTAGCCATTAGTGACCTGAGGGCCTGGAAGTGACAGGTGTGACTGGGGAGCCTGCCAGCACAGTGACTTTCCTTTCAGTATGAATCCCACGCGGAAGCAATATATATCAAGTAAAGTAATTATAATTTTGAAGCGTTAAGACGCTTCCCTTGGCCTGAAAAATCATGACAGGCAATCCACAGACTTTAAACATCTGGGAAAAGATCTGCCCTCACCTCCCTGCCTGGTTTCCTGGCTCCCACTACCGTGGGAACCGCAGTAAAAAAATGTGACACTGCTAGCAAATCCATGGATTCCCAGGGTGTGGCCGAGAAGGAGGCGTGACCTGGGGGCTGACTGTCACACAGAATTCTTCCTCTCATAGGGGCGAATTCCACTGATTAAAAATCGATTAAGATTAATTAACGTAATTAAAGTAGTAATTACCACTCCTAAGCCATCCCCGAGATTACCTGCTCCAAGGAAGTGGTTTTCATATGAAAGGGGAGGTGGGGGATTTAGCGAGTGGGGGAGGGGCCCTCAGAACCACCTGACTACCGGGGACACCTGGGAGGGGCAGAGAGAACACGGGTTAGCGAAAAGAGGAGAAGAAAAGAGCGTGGAGGAAGGCAAGCCTGGCTGATTCCAAAATTTGCAGAGGGCCAGTTCTGTGCCTCCAATTTTTTTAAAAGGATAAAAAAAAAAATGCATTTTCTACTCTTTTCCTTGCTCTGTTGGAACTTTCCTCTGAGAAGCCAGAGCTGAAAAATTGATGTTTCTGTTGTTCATACTATTCCACGATTGAGTTAAATTTGGAAAGTTTAGTGGTTTTTGAAGATTGAGCTGAGAACCCAAACTCAGAATTTTGGAAGATGCCCGTTCAAGCCTCGCAGCGTGTACATGTGTGATTGGAGGCCGCCTGTGTGCTGGCATCAGAGCACGTGTGCCCGTGCCGCTGGGCTTGAATACTGAGGATCTGACTGCAAATCCCAGACTAACCTCACACCGTTGAACCAGTGACCCCAGGGATCGTAACGGTGAAATAACCACATGAACTCAAATAGGAGCTGGCCCGAATTTCTTTTGCCTTTGTCGGGACCACTAGTGAGGTGCTGAGCAGATGGTGGGCACCCATTGAGCGCCCGTGGCCCGCCTGTGCTGGGAGGAAGGTGCGACCTGCTGTAGGTGCTCTGACCTTGATGATGGAACGTCCTGACCAGACACAGGGTGGCGTCTCGTGGGCGGCCACCCTTGATGGTCTACACTAGCTAGCACGTATGAGATTGGAGAAGAGGGGATGTTGTCTGTGTAACGTGGAGGCTCTTGGGCTCCAATCCCGTCTTAGTTTTCCTGGTCTCCGTAGAGAAAGTAGAATTAGGACCTTCAGCTGGAAGGAAAAAACCCGAGCTCAGCAGCTGCACGGGCAGCGTCCCCTTCAGCTCTGCTTTAGGAAAATTAGGTGAAGCGCCTGCACCCAGGGGTCCCTCCCCAGAGAGGTGCGTCCCACCCGAGGCGCTGGGCAGGGCGGGCTGCAGGCCCCCGTGCAGACCTGGCGGCAGCCTCTGGCCCTCCGAGCTCACTTGCAGCCCTGCGGTCTCGGCACCAGCCAGCGGCACCCACTCTGTGCGTTTTCAGGGTTCTCTAAAGCAGCCCTCCCCGGGGCAGTCCTCCAGGCGGACATCCCAGACCATTTCCAAATGTGTGCCGTGTTTGGAAAACTGCCCGGGATCTGAGCTGTCTGTCCGTGAACTCGTCTCTCCCACAAGCTGTGCTGCTCTGCACCCCGTTTTGCAGGCACATACGTTGTGGCATAGCACGACGGCTGCAGCAGCAGTGGGCATGCGGACGTTGGCTGCGTGGCCCCTGCCCTGGCGCGGGCGGCAGGGGTGCGTGGCGCTGCTGACGACCTGTCTGATTGCAGGTGCTCCCGGAGAGAGGATGACAGCCCGCACCTTGCCCGCAGACACTGCTCCCTCACCAGCAACCACCCTCAGCCCCGCACACAGCAGCCTCGCTGCCTTGCCTCCACGCATCTCCAACTCGACCACCAAAAATACCACCTCAGGTTTGACCGTGATGCTCTAGGTGTTTTAGGTGCTGGATGATGAGATAAAAACTTGAAACTTTCATGCAGCTCTTTTATTTCACACCAAATATTACTTGCAGCTTTCCCATTTTACCAATTTTCACATATTGATACTAAATTAGGCGAAACACTCCTCAATTTACCAGGAAGCTTTTTCTGGGCATATTTTATTTTATTATTTATGTTATACAAGTTTATGGCAAAGAAGAAAGACAACAGATTTTAGTGTCATCTAGCTGAGAGCAAATCCAGCCTCTTTTAATTTCCTAGCTGACTTTGGGACAAGTGACTCTTAGCTTTCTGTGTGTCGGTTTTCCCTTCTGGAGAAATGGATATAATGATACTCATTTCACACAATGGATGTGAGCACTGAATCTGTAAAAAGCCTGGTATGAAATGAATAGAACAAAAGTGTAACCGGTGTCCTTGTTAGTAATTAAAATAAGGAGAGTGGTAACTGATCGGGTAAGGACTAGCCTGGGCAGGACTGCACATCAAGGCAGAATTGTACCAAGGAACGAACGGCTTCCTCTCAACTTACCTGAAGCTTAGTTCCAATCCTTTGAACTGTTGGTGATCTTAAAGAGCCTTGTGTAGATTAACCTTTGACTCACTTTCTTATTTTAAAAAACGAGTGAGTGTCAACTCAAACTAGGAAGAGATTCGGTTAAGTTGGTCTTTGCTGAAGCGTTTCCGCCTCGCCCTGCAACGTGACAGACGCATTAACCGGTGTTCCTCTGTTCATTTCCTTGCAGATTCGCTCTCCACATCCCCTGCACCATCCTCTCTGACCACTGCAGCAAGCACTTACTCTGCAACAGCTCCCACAACCATAGGTGACAACCTGACCCCCAGTCATGCAGTCACACCACCGCCACGCGCTTGGGACACGCTCACAGAAGGGTCTTCCGTTTGCTCCCCCCTGGGCTCTTCCCCGGAGAAGTTCGCTTGAGGGTTCTAATCCCGAGGACTAGTCAGAACCACTGCTCTGTGTCGGCAGTGCGGCAGCTAAGGAGCTCAGGGCGTGGCGTTGTGGTGACAACCTACAGCGTCACGGTCGCAGCATCCCTCAAGAGTTGTGTGCTTCATGAGACGCACGGAGAAATGACCAGCTAGGCTAGGACTTCTAAGAGCGGGTTTTGGTATTAGGATGGAAAAGGACAGTTCTGTCAGTGGGGATCTCTGTTTCACGAGGTCAGTAGCAGGGGAGTGATCACAGGGCCCCAGCCGTGCGCGCGGGGCGTGGAGACAAAGGCAGGGCGTGAACGGCCATCACTTGGTGGGTGTCCATCAGAGGTCAGCCACGCGGAGCCTGCAAGCGTACCATTCTCCCCCCAGTTTCTCCAACTCAACAATCAGATTAGCGGAGAGCTTTCAGCCTCCACAAAGCACATTTCCACTCAGTTCTTCAGTCAAAGACACGCACTCACACAAGATATGTCTCAGGGGCTGGAGAGCACAGTTTGGTGCCCTGGACCCAGTATCTGTGTGAAGCTTACAGAGGTTAAACCAGGGAGTGAAGCAGCCCTTGCTTACTCTCTGATTTTTTTTAAACAAAGGTGTGAACTGAACTCTCCAGGGGTAGTGATTCTATAAATGTATTTGAGATTCATTAAGGGGATGAAGACTTTTTAAACGAACAGTCAGCCACGTTATCGCCATTCTGTGATCAATGTGTGTCCACCAGGTCTTAATGCGACATAGTCACAGTTGTGTTCATTGGGTCAATTCATGAAAATGTCTTATAGAACTAGCTCCTTGGTTTACAACCTTTGAAGTTTTGAGATCAAGACGTGGGACCAGGCACCGCCACCTCTGCGTTAATCTGCTCAGCCTAGCTCAGTCGCCTCTCCAGTTTATGGAGATGAACCTTTGTAAAGCGCCCTTCCCCAGAATGACCAGAGCGGAGATATTCTAAAATGCAGCTTTCATAATTTGAATTCTTTTTTTTTTTTGTCTATTACAGCTACTACTACTCGTAAGCCAGCATGCGGTAAGTTTGTTTAATTAAAGGCAATGTCTATCACTTTAGAAAAGCTCTTAAATTATTTCCTTCTTTATTCCAAGCTTCCAACACTCCCTAGCGAGCTAAACTCCCTGACTCTGGTTCCTTGCCAGTGGTTGTCTCCTGTTCTTAAAAGCCAAGATCCTTCAGGGCAAGGAGCTTTGGCGTCATACTTGGACCTGGTTCTGAGGACCCGGGTTGATGGTTACTAGCAAAACAGTTCACTTCAGTTTGGGATTTTATACAGTGATAGGATTACGAGTTTGTCTTGGGCTCGGGGGAGGATTCAGGGTGATGAGAAATATGAAATGTGAATAATACCTCACAGCTAATCAAGAAGAGAACGGTCCTCCTGTCTGTCTGTCTCTGTCTCTCTGTCTTGCCAGGGTTCAGCTCAGAGCAGGTGCTTGAGAACAGCTTGTGCCCATCCTTTTCCCATTATTCTTCCTGTGTTCTCAGTGGAAGCAAGGTCCTTCTTCATGGCCAGGGCTCCTGCCTCCAAGTGTTCCTAGATCTCACCGCTGGGGTCCCTGCCTTCGGTGGCTCTCCGCACATTCAGAGTGAACGTCCACCTTCGTGTGTTTGCTTGACTAATATGACCCCGCGTGACCAGGTTTCTCATGTGTTACTGCTTCCTCGCACTGTTCACTAAGTAACATGCCAGCATACGCAGCTTTTCAAGCACACGTTTCTTGCGGGCCCCATCTTCCCTCCTGCTCTCCTTCCTCTCCCCTTGGAATCCCACGCCATCCTCACCCAGCGCCGCCGCCTCCATCAGTCTGTCCATGCCCTGCTCCCAAGTTAAGATGCAAACAGAGTCACCTCCTCCGGACACCTCTCCTGTGCCTACAGTCTGAACTGACTTCTCTGTCCTTTTCCTCCGTGTTATTCTGTGCATGATCTTATTTTAGGTGTTTTTCCTGTTTTCTGTGGTTCCTGCTTATGCCTGTGTCCACGTTGGATCCTAGGGTCCCCAAAGCTTAGCGTTTGTATCCCTAGTGCCTGGGACAGTGTCTTAAGCTAAGTAAGGGCTTCGTAATTTTTGTTGCACTAAAAAAAAATGAGTGAATATATTAATGGGTGTTGAAAAGATATATTCACCAGTCAGTGGCATCTATTTAAATAAAGGGGAGCGTGAGACTACACTCTCATTTTCACACTAAGGAGGCATCGTTACCCATAATCTTACAAAAGCGGAGGAATGATGTCACCTGTGGTCTCCAAGTACGATGTTCTGCATGTCGAGAGAAAGAGGCCATCCAGTACTCCGTTTCAGAAAGCAAGGGGGTGATAAAGCAGGAGAAGGAATGTGTCAGGTGCACTGTGCATTTTTTTGCTGCGTAATTCAACAATCACCGAGGCCCTGCTCATGACAAGTGTGACACAGGGATCCGGATCTGTGGTGATGATCAAAACAGACAGGGCTTTGCTGTCATGGGATTTACAGTCCAGTTAGGAAGACAGACAGACATGAATCCAGCAATCATATAAATACAAGCTTACAAGCCGGGGTCCTTGCTAGGGCGGTGACATAGACGGAATTATGAAAGAGTGACATGGAGGCCCCCGGTGTGTCCTTTTCCTTTTTTATGTTCCTGGGGATATTTTGTTGGTGATTTGCTATTTTTTTAAAGTACGTGTTGAGTTTGTATTACGCAATGTAGGTTTATTCGTTCTGAAAACTAAAGGACAATCTTCGTGGTTTAATTTTCTTTCAGAAAATAAATATGAAGACATCCATGTGCGTTACTCTTACAACAAGGATAACAAAACATACGACGCAACACTTACTGTTGGTGATAATGTGACATGTGACCCCCTTGAGTGTAGGAACAAGCAGCTGTTTGGTCTGGAGACATGCACAGATCACACTATAGAGATAAAACATGAGTCATGTGGTGATCCACCTAAATCTCTACAATTAGAAGTTCCACCAGGTAAATGTCCATTGATTTCTGTCTGTGTATTTACAACAGGGCAGTTTTGCGTGTGGCGCCTCCCAGTGGTCACAGGAATCAGTAGGTGGGAGAACAGGCCAGCGGGGTGGACTTCCCACTCCCCTGACCCAGTGACAACAGAACCGCCCACAAGCCTCTGCGTTTGTCCCGTTAATCCAACAACCGAGTGAACACCCGCCTCCCTGCGCTTCATGAGGGCAGCTCACGTCGATGAGATGTGGCTCCTCCTGAGCGAGTGCTCAGCTTTCTCCTCCTCTACCTAATTCAAGTTGTTCGACACGGATGTGCCCACAGCAGCCCTTCTAAATCCAAGTGTGGCTGCAGTATCTTGGAGGGGAAACGGAAAGGCGAAGGTTTGATGTTTGTGGAAGGAGCAAAAGTGCGCTCACCCCCAAAGCTGAGTCACGGGCACGTCAGAGCGCTCAGGGCGGCTTCCGGGGACGAAGGGGCGACCCCCGGAGCCCGCTCCACAGAGGCCGCCTCAACGACACGCGCTTTCCAGGAGGGATCCGCGGACTGCGTGAACTTGCTGAATCTCTCTCCTCTGTGAACAATCCAAGAGCGCTGATTGGCTTGCTAATGTTTGAACAGGTCAAAGTCTGGTGTTTTTGAAAAAATGCCACTTAACTTACTCACTTTTTCTAAATGTTTCTGAAATACATTACCAATTAAAAATAGAAAATGACTACTTAAAAAAATAACATTTCCCAAGAGGGAAGACTGCAAGCTCTGTGTAATGATCATTCAATAAAACAATCAAAGTGTAAGCGAAAATTTGGAGATATAAGTAAGAAAACAAAATGGAATGAGTGTTTTAAAATGGGCAAAAAAAATGCAATTTTATCTGGACGTTTGCTTGAGTACCATTTCTTCAATGTAGCATAAATTCTAAATGAAATGCTGCTAATATGTGTGACGTTCAAAAAGAATAAACTAAACATTCAAGAAATGCAAAACCCTGAGAGGCCTTAGACTTTTTCAAAAGTAACCTAGATTCTTGCCAAACTCTGTGTGCTGAATATAGTTTCGAAGACGATCACGGAGCCTACAGAACAGCACTAAGTACTCATCACCTATTTTTACATCTTCTTCTTGACAGATCCTGAACATTTTCAGTTTCGTCACGATTGTGTGGAGCCTGTAAAAGCAAATACATCTCTTTGTTTAATTTGGAGAGAAAGTGAAAGCAGCGCTTGTGATGCAAATAAAATTACATACAAATTCCAGTGCGGTAAGAGTCTGGCGTTGACCAGAAGAGGTTTTCCTCTATGGTGGGAAGTTTCTCTAGGTGTTACCTAATCCGGCCTCCCTCTCTCCCTCCCTCCCTCCCCCTCCCCTCTCTTCCTTCTTACCTTTATTTCTTCTATTTTTCTTCCTTTTTCCATTCTGTCTGTCTGTCTCTGTCTCTCTCTCTTTCCTTCATAGCCCATGATGTGTTTGGAATCAAATCACTGTATTCTCTATACCCTTCACATTCACCAAATAGACAAATACTCCCCCTGAAAAATGATTTTTGAAATAGTAATATCAAATAATTTGTAAGAATTTTCTTGGCAACTGTTATACATGGGCATTGTTGAAAATCAGGGGAAAGAGTTATAAAAAATCGTGACACGCGTACTGCTAGAGCGAAAGCCCTGAGACCCGTGGGCCCAAGGGCTTGCCTTGCTGGCCCTCCCTCAGCACCACCATGAGCAGCTGCCAGCAGACTTGGATCAGAGAAGAGTAGGAAAAGGGTGCTAAGTGCTTCTAGGAATGGGAATTTGGGTTCATGGGAGGGGGGACAATTGAGATAACATTTGGTTTTAATGATGACTGATTTAATAACTTTTAATTTCCTTTCATTTGTATTTATGGAGATGAAATCTCCCTCTCCTGGCAGAAAGCCATCTGCTACGCCATAGTTGGCAAGATGGACAGACGGACACAAACACACACACTCTCACACAAAGGCTGGAGTATGATGCTGGTCGTAATCGTCATGTTATGGGAAAGATGCTCCACTTAGATGCAAGCAATACGAGGCAAACACGAGTAAACTTATGACAGACTGATGAGAAAACACTGATCTAAGACGTAGAAAACAAACTTATGGCTACCAAAAGGGAAGGTGGGGGAGAGATAAATTAGGAGTTTGGGATTAATAGACACACACTACTATACATAAAATACATTAACAACAAGGACCTATTGTAGAGCACACGGAACTATGTTCAATATCTTGTAATAGCCTATAATGGAAGGGAATCTGAAAAAGAATATATCACTTTGCTGTACACCTGAAACATTGTAAATCAACTGTACTTCAATTAAAACATGTAAAAAAACCCAACGACCTAGGATATCTACAAGGTAAAGAGTAACTCAAGTGCAATCTCAGTTTCTGAACAGAGAGTAGTGAGCTGACGCCTCATTCCATCAGGTAAATGAGAGACACTGTCAAATTTAGTTTTACTGCCTAACATTTTCTTTACAATTGAGTATGGCAAACGCATACACTGTTATAGCAGGTTTCAGAATTTTTACTTCTTGTTTTGGCCTTTTGCATAGGTTTTTAATCTAACAGATAATAAGTATAGATACAAGTACAAAATAAAATTCAAATGTGATGTGTTACAATCGTGTACTCACATGCAATCCTTACTTCTTTTAGGTGACTACACTCCGCAAAATAGCAGTGGACAAATTAGTAGTAACAAATTTGAATTCAAAGACCTTGAACCTGAAAGGAATTACACTTGTAGTTCACAACTATACTATAATAACCTGACTATTACTAACAAAACTGTAACTATTACAACAGATTTTGGAGGTGAGTATATTACTTACTTTTATATGTTAAATTTCTTTTCCTTTCATGTTCTTATGATTCTTTGAGAATCACAGAAAATGCTGTTATGGATTTGGAGAAAGGGTTTCAGAATATGGATTTGAATCAATCTTTAAAGTAGAATTTAGAAATAAATGACAGAGGATCCAAACCTCCATCAAGTTGTGTGTGTGTGTGTGCACGCGCACAAATTAAAGGCTGTGGTGAGGTTGTGGTGGAAACAAAACTGTGAGATGAGTGAAATGCTTGTTCACTCATTTCTCGATTCATTTCCTCTCTTCCTGTAGCATCCTTCTCTCGTTGGTGTGTCCCACACCCTCTGCCTCTCTAGCAAATCCTGCCTCTGATAGAAGCACAGCGCGCACATAAGCTAATAAAACACCGTGGTAAAGCTAAGGATTGATGGCAAATAATAATTGTTACTAAAATGCCAGCAATATAAACTACTGATAACAATTGGAAAATAAAATTCTGGAAAACAACAGCAGTTAGAAGGTGAGGGGAGAGAAAAGTGAAAAGTGCTAAGGCTTCAGTCTTACTTAGTAGAATTAGAGAATCTGGTTAAATTTACAATCTGCTAGGAAAATATGTCCTTTGTACATAAGACAATTTATAAGTAACTACTATAAAACGTGAGAGAAAGAGGTAAGTAGATGGCATTGTTTATAAGCAGTAGAAGAAAGCTATGGCATAAAAAATTCTACATGTTAAAAGAGGAAAAGGAGAAAGAAGAAGAGGAAAGAAAGAGGAGGGAGAGAGAGAGTGTGTTGGAGAGAGGGAGAGAGAGAGAAAGGAGAGGAAGGGGACAGGAGAGGAAGAAGAAAAAGGTGGCAGGGAGGGAGGAGAGAGAGAACACTAAGTAGGAAACAGAATGTAAGATAGCAGAAACAGGTCACAGTGTATCAAAGGTCACTATAAATATAAATGGCTTAAATTCACCTTTTGAAACAAAGATATTCAGGCTTGAGTAAAGACCTATTTGGAGGGAATTTGTAGCTTTAAGGAAGATCAAGTGACATTTTAGGGGAACTTTTTATCGCTTTGCTATTTATTGAATGAAAATCAGTGGAGAGTGCTTGGAAAAGAACCAAAAACAAATGCAAAGATAGTAGAAAGGAGAGAATAACAAAGTTTAGAGGACAAATTATTGAAAGAAGGAACAAACAAAAATATCAATAATTTATTAACACATTTAAAGACTTGTTTATTAAAAGAATACTAAAATAGATCTCTAGCAAAATGACCCCTCCTCCAAGGATGAAAAAAAAAAGAAAATTAAAAATACAGAAAAAATTTTACAGACTAGGAAGAAACTTTGCATCCAATCTAAAAAGTTAGATAAAATGGATAACTTTCTAGAACATATGATTTATGGACATTTATCTAGAAAGCGTTAGAAAATTGGAGTTAAAATTATAGTTCAGTACCTCTCCACTCACTTCACACTCCCTGTCTGCTTGTATCGCCTGCCCTTTAAAAAAGAAAAACCATAAAAGCAAAGTTTGCCAATATTCAAAGAGCAGTTACTTCCTATCTTATCCAAACTACCCCACAGTACAGAAAACATGGAAATCTATCAACTCGGTTGATTACTGTTCGATTTGGGATAGGCCTAAGGTTAGTGCTATGTGGATGCAAAACTTGGGCAACTATAGAGCAGTCTTTTCTATGAACACAGATACTAAATCTGTATTTAATGAAGTGGACCCTTCAGTACATTATCAAGTATATAGTTGCCAAAGAAGATGTACAGATGTCAAATAAGCATATGAGAAGATGCTCCACGTCACGTGTAATCAGGAAAATTAAAACTAAAATAACAATTAGGGATCACTGCACACCTTTAGACTGGCCAGAATCCAGAACACTGACATCAGCAAATGTTGGAGAGGATGGGGAACAGCAAGCACTCGCATTCATTGCTGGTGGGAATGCAGAAGAGTGTGTCACTTTGGAAGACATTTTGACAGGTCCTGTTAAACTCAGCATAATCTCACCATGCAATCCAGTCGCCACACTCCTTGGTATTTACCCAAAGGGGCTGAAATCTCACGTCCACATAAAAACCCTCACATGGATGTTTACAGCAGCTTTGTTCGTCATAGGATCTTTTGACAGAACGTACTAAAGTGATTCTGATTTCATGTGGAAGGATGGAGAGCTGGTGATGAAAGGGCTTCCTAAATCCACATCTCCCAGTCACCCCCAAAAACTCAAAACCACGAGAAAAAAAAATAAAACTACAGAAACACTATGTCCCCAGCATAACTAGAAAAATTGAATGGTTTTTGGACATTAAGTACTAAAATTAGTATAGTCTTTATAAATCACTGTGACAAAGTAGAAATCCCAGGAAAAAAATCTTTCATTTTTTATAAAAGTACAAACGCAATTCAGTGGAAGAAGGAATTTCTTTTTTAAACAAATGATCCAGTTATCCCTTTAGGGGAAAAAAAAATCAGCCTTTAAATCTCAACAAACACAAAAATTAACTCAAAATGGATTGCAGGCCTAAACACTAAAGCTAAAACTATAAAATGTCTAGACAAAGACATTAGAGAAAATCTTTGCTGTTTTAGTGTAGGCAACGGTTTCTTAGATGGACACAAAAAACAACAATCATAAAAGAAAAAAATTTAGAAATCAGACTTCATCAAAATTAAACATTCTTGCTCTTTGAGTAAACCCATTAAGGACATAAAGAAAACAATCCACACATTATTAAAAAATATCCACAATTTTTTCAGCAAAGATAGTTTTGCCAGAATGTATACAGAATCTCCCCAAAACAAAATAAGCCATCAAGTAACACAATTAAAAATGGGCAAGCAGTTTGAACACGTGCTTCACAGAATATACTGTAACGGCCAATAAGCTCATAAAAATAGGCCCCATATCATTAGTCACCCAGGAAATGCAAATGAAAGCAACAGTAAGATGGCGACGCTGCACACCAACTCAGATGGCTAAAATTAAAAAAAACACAAACAAAACCTGACAATACTGCTGGTGAGAATGCAGAGTAATAAGCCAGAAATTTCACTCCAGGTATTTACCAACGAGGAAAGGACATGTCCCTAGAAAGACTTCCACACAGATACGCATAGTAGCCTCACTCACAGTGGCCAAAAACCTGGAAGCCACTCAAGCGTCCACCGAAGCTGGATGAACACGGAACATGTGGTCTGCCCTTACGGCGGAATGCTGCTCACAAGTAAAAGGACTGACCACTGACACGCAAAACATGGATGGCTCTTTGGACCATCACGTGGAGTGCAACCTGCTAGACGCAGAAAAGCATTCATTGTTTGGTTTCACGTCTATGAAGTGGAAGAAACAACTAACTTCATCAGTAGTAACGGAGGGCAGTTCGGAGAGTGTTTGGGTTTGGACAAGGGGCCTGGGTTGACTGGGAAAGGGCAGAGAGCTTCCTTCCTATGACAGGAATGTTTCATGTCTGATCATGATGGTGGTTATAGAGATGCATGTATTTGTCAAAACTCATCAAACTACACCCCAACGAGTATGTTTCAGTGTAAATTACACCTCACAATTTTGACGTGAGCATTGATTACATGCTTCATCTCAAGTTCTGATGGCTGGCTACTGGGAGTGATGACCAGTGCTACTCCAAATGAGGACTGTTCCATTCATCAACACTACCAGTGACAGATTTTCAGCACGGTGAAATCTGGAAATGACCAGACAGCTGGACAGCAGCAATAACATAACAATGCAGTAATGATGGGAGGGAGACAGCGTTTTCAGGTCTCTTCAAGTCGGGGGAACACGTGGGCTCCGCGGTGCCACCCGGAGCGACATTCACTCTGTTAAATGACCTCTGCTGCAACCCTATTAAGACCAGTTCTCTTTCTTTTAATTTCATTATTAATTCATAATTAAAATCAAAATCTGGCAATTTAATAGTGCATGCTAATAATGTGAAGGATGTTTTCTCCATGCCTTGGTTTTCATATTTTATATTCTTATTCTTTTAACAGACCCAGGAGCCCCTAAGTCTCTCAATTATTCTAATGTAAGTGCAACTGATGCACAGCTCTCCTGGGAACCACCTGAGAGGACTTCTCACGGGTTCACTCTCTGTTACCGGAATGCTTCAGGTAACTTGTATGGAATTTAATTCCACCTAGGAAAAGACGAGTCAAACGCGGGAAAGTGCTGACACGCGGGTTCAGCCGCAGAGGGTGCCACGGGCCTCCCTGCACAGCAGCTGGGGTGGGCGTCCTCGGCGCCTAGACGGCAGAGCTGCTTGCCCAGCTGTGGGCCCCCCAGCCTCGGAAGTGACTGAAGCTCAGCGCCGCCCTGGTGCTTGCTTGTCTCTCTTGATTTCCTTAGTTCTCATCCTTACACCCCGCGGCCCAGAGAAAGAGAACCTCTGGGAAGACGGCACACACACACCTGTCTGCCAAACGTTCCTTAAGTGAGCGACACTGGTTTGAATTCACAGTTCAGGACCACGAACAGACCACGTCCAGCGCTCACTTCAGCCGATACACATAGGAAACTGAGTGACTAGGAACGAACATGCACCCATTTAGCCACGGAGGCCAGTCTGATGACACGTAGAATCTTGGGGGCGTAGTTCTAGTTAGCGTTAAACTTCTCCAGAAATAAAGGTGGTCCAAAAAATGTGCCATGACTGGCTCAACCAGCAGGCTGGTTCCTCCAAATCAGAGGCCAGTTTAGAGAATAAACATGTCCTGGACAATTTATCCAAAATGCTTGTAGAGAACACTGAGCACCAGTGGGCCGTCTCTGAGCAGACTCAGCACCTGGGAGAGCCCCTTGCTAATCGTTTTCCTACAGCTTAAGGCAGGGTTCATGTTAGCATCTCCCCGAAGTCCATCTCTTTGGTGGGTGGGTAGGCGCCAGACCTAAATTTCAAATTTTGAAAAGTAGAAAACCTTTTATCTTCAGCGTGTTATTTCGTATTTTGATAAAATTTTGTTTTTGCTGGTTTCTTGAATCTTAATAATTGAACAACTAAAGCAAAATTCAACACATGTGTGGTTTTCATATTACCCTAAGAGGACTCAGGTGCTGTGGAGGAGAAATCTGTGCAGTGTGTTTACAAAGTTACGTCTATGAGAAAGGAAGAATGCAAACTACAGGACGTTAAAACAGCAGGACGACTGGATGTCGTCTGCCTCACTAGGCACCTCCTGTACAAACTCTGTTTGATTTCTGTATGAGCACATCCTTTGAATTTCTTTTCTCTTCTCTGAATCTTCTACTCGCTGTCCCATTTGTATCTGGCGTACAAAATACTCACATATTATTCTGGTAGTTTTTATTACTTTTAATTAGGTCTTAAATTCCATTTCATGATTTCATCATCAATCACTTCAGTCACTGAAAGCTGCAAATTAAGAGGAGAGAAATGTAGTTGACATTTCTTTCGTTTCCTCTATGTTTTTATGACTATTTTAAGGTTTTGTTAAACATTTCAGTAATGACTCTGGGAGGAGAGGTCCGTGTTTATGTTCAGAGCTCAGACCACGTGGCTGAGGGTCACAGGACTTCAGATCAGTGCTCAAGTTCAACAGCTTGAACCGCGCTTTATTTGCTACTGTATTTTCATGTTTTGAGCACGAGACCCTTTGGGCAACTTCGGTGTCGTGTATGAACTTAACGACGCCAAGGGACAACGAAGGCTTCTCGGTACCGGGGGCGAGACCTCAAGTCACGGCTGCACTCAGAGGGCTGTTCTTCAGAAGTCATTGAAACCAACGTGCACCCCTCAGGGTCACAGCGACATTACCGGAAACGATTTTGTGTAATGCCTTTTTTTAAAGAGTAAAACTACCTCTTTTACTTTTTTTAAGAGCAGCTCAGATTGGGAAGTTGTTCATGGATTTCCTGAGGTGTTTTCTAAAAAGCAAAGAGGTGACAAATGTCCTCAGTCAGTGCCTTTCTAGCCATTTCCAGAGCCACAGGCATGACTTGAAATGAGGCATGTCCCTATTTCCCTAAAGAAAACAAAATTTCAAGCACTGAGTCAAGTAAGTCCTTCACTTGTCCCACTCAGCCTGTGCTTCTGACTTCAGAGCCCTGAGGACAAGTGTTCCAGCACGTGGAGGAGGCGGAGAGGCTCATATGAAGTATACTGGCCTTTCTACCAAAGCTTGGAACCCTTGGCAATTGGAAATGAACACTGGGAACCAGCTTTCTAAGCACTGTACACTTACATTCCCCAAATGGCAATATCTTTTGAAAAATGTATTGTTCAAAATTCAATCAACAATTTGACTTTTGTCAAGCTGGCTAAAAGCGTCACAGAGCAACATAAATGAACCTTATTTTGAAGCTGAATTGTGAGGTTGTGAGGTTACACCCACAAACATACAAAATCGAGTCACTGAATGGAAGCCAGATGGACCTTGAGAATGACTTGTGGCTTGCAGCTGAGTTAGCAGTTCGTCCTTGTCCTTGCAGCCAGACCCCATATCAGGAGCTGGCAGAAGCTAGGAGTCGGGGGGCCACCTGTCCCTCTGTAGAACTGCCCTCTTCCTGTCCCCAGAGAGAACTCTCACTAGGGTCAGGGCAGAACTGAGTGGCAGATATAAGTTGATTAAGTCCAGCTTTGAGGATTTCTGAGAAAACAGACGCTTAACTGGGCTGGAGCAGGCACTCTGTCCCATCCACTGTTCAGCCTCCCACGGTGAGGTGGAGAGACGCCTGTAGCCTCCATTTCGTGAGTAAGTAACTGAGACGAGACATCAGCACGTGATAGATCTTTTCTCATGCTGTTTCTGCAAGTGCCTGGGCACATCCAGCTGGACCAGAGAAGTCAAGTGTCCAAGAGTAAGAAAGAGCTGGCCCCTGTGCAGTCGTTGGTGCTCTTTCCTGTCCCGGGATGCACAGTGAAGCTTTGAGCAGAGCCTCAGTGTCCGGACCTCATCCTGGCTCTGTTCCTCCTTCCCCGTGAGATCACGGGCAGACTGCGAATGTCTCTGAGGCTCAGTTTTCTCATCTGTAAAATTGGATGACATCAAGAGTGCCAGCCTGTAGGGCTGTGGCGATGGCTCACGGATTCACGCAGACCACCTAGAGCCGCGCTCGGCACAGAGCGCCGTCTCCGCTTTGCTCTTACCGTGGTTGGCGCTGTTAGCAGCGGTGTCGTCACTGTAGCTGCTACTCAGTGACACGCTGCCTCTCTCATCTTTCTTTAGTCTGTCTTTCTTGGTGGCAGTTGGCTACTCGGAAACAGTCAGTGCCTAGAGACTTTTCAACTTAACAAATGCTCAGTCATCTGCCTGAATGTTTAAACGTATTTCAGCAAGGTGTCCTCTCTCCTATCCCCACCCAGGCAGACTCTGCTGTCCTGGTCGGGTTTGTGCCTAAAGTCAAAATGCTCCTTCCTTCACTAAAGTTTTCTTTTCTCCTTACACCTGCTCAGTTGCACTCATCTTCCAACGAACAGCTCAGGTCCTCCTGCCAGCGTGAAGCTTTCCCGCATTGTCTCAGCCCCCATTTGCTACTATTGAGCTTAGGCCGTAGGACAGAGTGGACCAGTCTATTGCCGATCAAAAGAATTTGGCGTCTCAAGTCCACAACAGGAGCTAAAACCAATACTCAAAGTTTTGAGGTTAAGTATGGAAAAAAAAGATTTCACCAAAGTACCAGAAAAAAAGGCCTTTCACAATATGCACTGTGGGCTGTGTTTTCTCAGAAAGCAAGGAGACCATCTTCTCAGATATGCCTAAAATTATTAAATACGTCTTGCAGCGAATTAACTATAGGAAACCATAATCGTTGTACATTTGAGTCTATTGCTAGTAATCGCGTGTGTTTGATCCATTTGCTAATAATTGTGTGCACTTCCGAGCACCAAGGATGTTTTTATTTCTCCATCATGCAGTTTTGGAGTTGGCTTGGAGTGATTTAACGTAGCGACGAAATTAAGTGTGTGGTCTTCTTGACTTTTGATGACTTAATAAATGTTTTCTTTTTCTTCCCTTGAGATCGAGTATGCCTCAATGAGACTAAACACACATACACTCTGAGAAATCTGAAACCTTTTACAGAATATAATGTAACAGTACATGCCTTTGTCAATGGATCCGTGTTTCGTCCCGGAGCTGATGCGAAATGTGCATTTAAAACAGATTCCGCACGTAAGTTATAGGCGTCGGTGCTTTTTCCTGTGAATGGCAAGGAGGAGCGCGCAGCACGTCCACCTCCGTGCTTCATTTGGGAAACATACTAATCTGGCACATAGGTTGACATCCAGGGTTTATGATCATTTAAAATACAACCATTTAAAACCCCGCATGCTGGGTTCTCTGTATTCTTCAGAAGTAATCACTGTAAGCATGCAGTACAAAAGTTTATGGACTGGCACAATTTATAAGATTTCAGGCAATTAAGTACCTAATCATGTTAGATAAAAATACATTACCTATTTTTATTTCCTTATTGTCTGGAAATATTGACTACTGTCAGTCAACTTAATAACGTCTCACTCACAAAGCATCCCCTTGCTAACGTCTGCTCACCTGGCAAAACACCTCATAAATTATAGTATTTTGTTGGCACTTTCTGCTCTGTTACAGTGAACTACCTACTATTTTATTTTATGTCATCTTTTACATTCATTTGGCTCTTGCCACCTGTATGATGGCTCCGTGGATTTTTGGTCCAAAAGTGGGTCTGTCTCTGAGGTCGTTGTTAATTCAATTGGATCAGGGAAGAAGAAACGCCCTTGAGTAAGGCAGCAGCTTTCAGCTCCAGGGACCCTAACTGGCACCAGCTCACAAAGAAAAATTGTCCTGTGCAGGGCTGGGCACTGAATGCTCTTAATATCATTTAGGTTCTGGTTTCAAAAGTCTAGGTCCTCTGTCAGTTCATCCACATTGCTGCAAATGGCATTATTTCATTCTTTTTTATGGCTGGGTAGTATTCCATTATATATATATATATATATATATATATATATATATATATATATA